TAGTCATGATTCTTTTTGGGTTACTTGATTGAGTAAGGTTATAGGGATTTACTTGGTCATTACACATGTTAAATTGGTATGGTTTCATGGGTGATTGTCTTGCTTTGGTTATGTTGAAAGGTACTCTTATACATACTTGTTGCTAATATGACCTAATGATAGAGTTACTTGGTTATGTATTCAACTATATGCTATGCATGTTGACTTAACTAGACTTGATTTTGTTGGTTTTGTGATGTACACGCCAATGACTTAATGAACATGCATTATTGCTTTTTATGATCTTATTGAATATGCACAAAGGCTTTTAATGAAAAGTGCATATATGTGTGCATATGATCTCATACTTAGTAAAAGTGGTGTACTAACCACATTTCTTCCTTTTCCCCAACATTTTAGGTTCCGGTCTTTGAAGTACTTTTGGAGTCGACATTGAAGAAGACTTGGATCTCATGACCATCCAAGTAGTGTATGTCCTAAATTTCTGAGGGTGATGCCACTATCAAGCTTATAGAGTTGTTTTTATTTAAAGACTATTTATTTAGTATGAAACATTGTGTAGCCCATGTGCGGAATTCTTACTTTGATGTATGGGTTATGCCCAAGTTCTTACACTTTTATTAGATGGTTATGAGATTAGACGACTATTGTGACTATGTTATCATTTATATACTTATGTGAAATAAAAGTAGAAGACTAAGTAATCTTCCTATATGAAGGGTCTATAAATACTCGATAATATATATTTATATATATATATATATATATATATATATATAGAGAGAGAGAGAGAGGTCTATGTAAACGTCCAAGTAGAAGTAATGAAAAGTTTTAAATTTTTCCGCCTTTTGTCCTATGATTGTAATGATGTAAGATAAGAGGCTAGTCTTAGTCCTCAAAGTAGACGATGACACTGGTTAAGTCTAGGGATTAAACCTGCATGTGACAATATAAATCTACCCATCTGGTCCTACAATTACCATTTGACTCTAAAAGGTTGTCCATAAATATTTTGGGTGATTTTGTTGTCTAAACTATCGTTTTGATGTCATGATCTTATTTTTTATTGTGCGGAAACATTATGATTTCGAGCATGCGTGATCAGCCTAGTGATAGGCTACGACTTCCTTTCTTATTAGATTGAACATGAATGTGTGAATGCATGATGACGGTTGTTAATTGAGGGCGCGTACCTAGTTATTCCTTGATTTCTTTCTAGAGACCATGATTTAGTGTTGATTACATCTGTTTCGAGAGTAGTACCATATTGTAATAGGGTTTCATGTGTGTTGTAGCATCACATGTGATTTACTTGTTTAATTACTTTTTTAGAGCATGATTTAGACTTAGACTAAGTTAGACTAGTTTTTCCTTAAACGTATGCACCTTCTGTCTGTGGTGCATCTCCAACGTCGTTCGGATGGACTAGATCCTCGTAGACGGAAATAGAAGACTTTTGTCATATACGAGCCTTAGCTTAGGCATTTGCAAAGCTGTTAGCCTTTCTATCCTCTCTCTACTCCTCTCTCTACCTCTGCGGCTCTAAGCATTACAAGGGATTGTGTGCTTCCTATTGATTGGAGTGCTTCCTACTTGGAGCCTTTATGATGTCATTGAGGGTGTACATTGATCCAAAGTGGCTTGGAACCTACTTAAGATCCTTTTCGATTTGATACATCACCACGAACTTTTGCTTGCTGAGAAGTTGATGCCCTTGGTAGTGGGATAGCTGGGCAGTCAAGATAACTAAGATCCTCTTAACAATCAATACATCCCTTGGGAATCCTTTTAATTGTGCAATTGACGCCTCTGGGAATTGGGGGCCTAGATATTTTAGATACACTACAGACTTGACACATCCCCGAGGTACACTCTCTTGCTAAGAGGTGGACGCCCCTAAGAATGGATTATATGGCTTGGGGGCTACGTTGATAGTCACTCTTGCTTGCTGGGTTAGGTTTCGAGTGCTTGTCTTGATTTTCTCTCTTGATATCTAGGCTAGGAGTTGACTGGTTATTTGATTCGGATCTAAATTACTCTTTGTCTTGTAGACAGTTATTTTGTCTACTTACCGGGGTTATGGTGGTCCATTAGGGTTTTAATTAAATTTGTGCACAAGTGTACCTTTTAGGATTATGGGTTCCAGTTAGTTTTAGCTTATTTGTATTTAAATTTACTTCTCATATGCTCGTGTGCCTTCTTTTCATGCCCATTTTGGCATTTGTTTTTGTCTAGATTCTGACATATCAAATTGTATTTATCTTGTTGTTCGATCGGCCTATGATGCCTACTGATTACCTTTTTTTTTTACTTATGCTACACTACATTATTTCCTGATGCAGTTCCTAGTACCATCTACAAGTGGTTAACGTTCGTGCTGTCTTTTGCAGCTTGCGGTTATCGGAGACGAAGTTGAGCACTTGACATTTTGCATGAGTATGTCTCTTCCTATACTTATGTTAGTTTGTCTTTTTCCGTTAAGACGACTTGTTGTGGGTCACTTTTGCGACTTCTAAGTGTATTGTAGATAGTTATGTAATCATGACTTTTAGGTTCTGGGAGGGTTTTCTTTGTATATAGTTTTTGTTTGCTTCCTATTTTTCTCCTTTCTTATGGTAGAATTATTTATTATTTAGTTCTACCCTTGTACTCACTTCTTGTCATATTGGTTACGGGTTGTCTAACCTTTACTGGGTTTTAATAGGTTTCATCGTGACTGGGGGAGTCATTCGTGACATAAAATTTTTATATAGGGCTTAGGGTAAGGGACAAGACGACATAGTAATGGTTTAAAGCAATAACAAAAGACCCAAAAGCCCTTGAAACTAACTGATGAAGCCCTTCTACAATTTGAACCTACGGTCCATAGATTGTCCTACTCAACTGTAGAATAGTTCGGAAACCTAAATTTTTTTATTGATTTTGACAAGGCATGTCTACGGTACACAGAACCAACCCTAGTAAACAACTTTTGATCTTAAAATTTCACTAAGTCATGGACCTACCTACGAGACCCATCTACAACTTGTAGAAAATTAGGTGGATCGTACTAGTCAATCATAAAAAGGTTGTCGGGACTTGATTTATAAAATCATTTTCCTCTCTTTCTATGTGTGCCATCTATGGCACATAGAAGCTTCTAAGGTCAATAGATGGGAACCTGTAGGACCATCCTGCAACTCAAAAGTCTTTTCTTCACCAAAATTTGAGGTGTCACATTTGTAAAATATATTTTGTATCACTTTTATAGAATATAATTTTTGTAATATAGTTTGTATAATTATGTAAAGTTCATATGTTAGTATTTGTATAAAATTCATTATTTTGAGTTTTATCATATTTATATAATTTTGGAATTTGTATAATATAAGAAATTGTATAATTACGGAATTTGCTCAATTATGCAGATACACGTAAATTATACACATGTACGCAGATTATAAAAATAATGTAGCCCATCGCAGTTTAAACTAAAGCTAAAACAAATAAATATGCAACACTATAGAAGAAGAACATATTACTTTTATTAAGGTTTCTATTTGCGAAATTAGCTCTTAAAAATATTATAAATGGCTTATCTAAATTATTCTAGTTGGTATCACTAAGACGGTGATAAGTTTGCAATATGCAATATACTTGTATTATTCATGATTTCAACACAATTATTTAAAAAAAATCTTATTCAATTTTAATCCAATTGCGAGACAATTCTGAAAACATCATCTTTTTATATTTTTAATCTAATACTTCTCCTAAATCAATTTTATACTTAACTAATCCCCCTTAAAATTGAAAAATAAATTTCAACTGTTATTTTTCAAGTATTTGTAATACCAAATCAAACTAATCACAAAATCATAAAACTCAAAGAATAAATTCTAAGTTCGAAGCTTTTTAATGGCCAGCAATGTTGAATCCTTGTCGTTTTAATTTTAGATATTTAGATCTCTGCTTGCGCACAAGATTTCGTATACATTTTGGGTCCTTATATTCTTCTACTCGTCCCTTTTTGGGTCAAGATTGTGAAACATGGCGAAAATTGGCTTGAAGATATGAATATTAGACATAGTTATTTGGATTGAAATTTTGAAAAAGAAAAAGAAAAAAGAGAAAGTAGTGAAAGAGAGAGAGGCGGACAAATAGAGAAGAAGATAAAAGCAGTAAGAAGAAAGAATTAATCAAACAAGTCCATAAGAGGAGCAGACAAAAATATTATACAATAAATAAAATTAAAAGAGTATAAAGCACGGAACATAAGCGAAAACCTAATAATTAAACATAATGTGCTTGTACTTTTCGTCTCCAACACAGAAATCGTGTCCGAGCTCATTTTGCAAAACAAGAAACCATTTTTGAAATGTGCGTCAAGAATATGATAGAAAAAGCGATCATTAAAATTTATAACGTACCCCAACAACTCCGCCTCTAGTCCATATAAATTCTTTACACAACATGTCATTAAACCATTTATCTGAATCCATATTGATAATAGCGTCTGTAAGAGACCATGGTAGTTTTATATCCTCATTGTTCCAATCGAAGTCATAAGAATGTGGCTCTGTTTAAAAAGAAAATAAATCCATGTGTTTCTTAATGCAAAATATTATTAACAAAAGATGGTACTCACCTACTGGTTGTGGAATTGGTAATTTTCTTCTCATCCCATCGATGCCAGCAATAATTATTGAAGCTAATCCCAAGTACGGGTTTGCACATACATCAAATATTTTCATTTCAAAATTGGTTACAACACCATTTGAAGCTCCAGGAGGGCAACAAGCTCTTACAGGTAACTCTTTACTTTCTTACCCCAGCAAATGAATGATGAGTTCCGTGCCTTACACATTGAACGGTCATAACTGTGCATTATTCATTATTTTTAAGATCAACATAATTAAATAGAATATTCCATAACACAAAAAGTTTCATAATTTACTACTGGGAAGCACACACAAATGACACAAAGGAGCACAGTACATTAAGAGCTAAAACATGTTTACCTAATTAGAGATAGGCATCGTAAATACACATAGGGAACGAAGATGATCTAATATCCCAGCCATAAATGATTCTCCAATCACGGACATCCCATACCTATTTGCCTCACCAGATGCCATAAATATGTTTTTTCCATTCTTAAACAAACCGATGTGTACATGCGATCCTGACCCAACATCATCATCGCTAAAATCAGCATAAGACCCCAGATGCACATTATTTGTATGATACCTACAAAAAGGTTCACATGATAAAAGTTGTTACAACAAAGAGATTTTTTATAAGTTTTAATTCAATTATATGTTCCACTTGAAAAGTGTGTTTCAAAAAAATTGGTAATTATAAGAGTTAAAAGACAACTTTAGGAAAAACACAATACAGGGATTTGAATTTAGGAATTATGGCTAAAGAAAAATGGCCTAAACTAAAATATAATGTATCTACTTCCCAATATATGAGTGTTTGCCAATGATTTCTTGAGTGAAATAACACCCATTGGACCCTAGTTTCCAATAGTTTAAGTAGTTTATAGTTGTATATTAAAAATAAAGTTAAATTCAGTTTACTGAAGAGTATATATAGGAAGACCATGACACCGTTGAGCTTTCATGGGCATAGTAATCTAGGAATTGAACTTCAATCCCGTCGCCTTCACATTAACAACAATATTACTCAACAACACAAAGCAATAACTCCATTGCTGACTAGCTCTTGCAATCTATACTTCAACAACCCCACACATATAACTCTAGCTAAAACTCGGACGAATACACACATTAAAACTGATCTAATTTCTTTATAGCATAGGAGTAGATCTTACAAGAATAATAGCTGAGAGTTAAAACACCACAATTAAGAACGATGATAACACTATCAGGTGCCTTGCTTTTATTAGAGTAATATTTCCTAAATACGATGGTTTTTGCTTTGTAAAATTTCTGATTGCAAAAATTTGAGTTTCTGTGAATCTGGAAGTTTGTGTGAATTCCCAATGGATAAATTATAGGATGGAAATAAAAAAAGTTTCAGTCTCTCCTCGGATCTGGTCTCTCATTAGATCCTAAAGTTTGTTAAATCATCAAAACTTCAGAGTGAGCTCAAAACAATATTTTCCACTTTTTGAATGATGACAACTAAAACATTTCAACTTCTTCCCCCTTTCATCAACCAAACGCAACTAGGTCCCCCTCTTGCTCTTGTTCTAGATCAGGGATTCTATGGCTTAACAATTTTCTCCCTTTTAACATAATATGAAAGAGACAAAGCAGAAAATCAAGTTGACAGAAATGCAATTCAAGCAAATCAAGGGTAACTTAGACAACACTGAGTATAAGATATAAATAAATTTCCATCTAATTCGTAGGAGCTCAGTTTATAGCCGGTAAAATAAAATACGTTCTGTAGATTGGTCTCGTCGATTGATATCCTAGACTTGGTTTATTAAAGCTTGACTTTCATGAATCCATTCTATGACTCGTAAAAACTATTATGGACCATAGACAACATCATGTAGTAAAGTGTTGAAACTCTATGTTTGCTTGATTTCTACAGATGAATAGGACTACTAGTAGAATCTTTTTTGCGAGCCGTAAAAGGGTCCGTACAACCCCAACGTCTCAAAATTTCAGCCTGGCTTCTACGAGAGGGTCTACGTCTTGTGGAAATTTTTACGGGTTGTAGATGATCTTCTATGATATTTTAAGAGAAGTTATTTTAGTGTTTTTCCACCCCTGCTAAACCTACACACTAACAGTTTTACAGACAATTAAATACCTTATCAGTATACTTATGCCGATTTACACTCAAAATCTCCAAAGGCTTAATCGGACGAATCAAGAGGAGAAAACTAGGGTTTCAAGTAGCATCTTAAAGTTTCTTCAAAAACATTGTTCTCTCATGTATGCAAGAACATTTAATGTAATGGACTAAGTTAATCATCATATCCTAGATCTAAATTGCGTCTGTAATAGTCTTAGGGGGGAAAACAAAAACATATCTAGATCAACAAGAAAAAAAAATGCACGTGAAAATATTGTGCGACCTACCTTGGGGTAAAACTTGCTAGTAGCCCATGTTTCCTTGCAATCCCTTTGATTACTTCATCTGTACTTATTAAGTTATTTGCTGCTCTACCACAATCAATGTATCCCAACACAATTTCAAACTGACCTTTTCCAGCTTCTGGATGCAACTGCATTCTAAAAAGATGAAACATCAAATAAAATAAAGTATATGATTTATATTCAAATACCATTAATCTTGTACATGTAAAATATTAACAAATGTAGAGGAACTATTTTTCTAGTAAAATAAACCTTGAACATATCACGGTTAACCAAGAACATCGTTAATGTTTTCTAAAATGAACAATTTCATTCCTAAGTTAGATTTTGTCTAAAATTAAATTTAAGGTGCGAGAAAACCCGAATGTATGGCACGTGATTTTTATTTAATTAAAAAAAGTAATGGTGTCATCTTTATTAGACAAATGATCAATCCCTCTTTTAAAAGAAGGTATTTCCATCTTCTTCATCATTTAACGCTACTACGAAGTGTTCTCATGCTCCATTTCCAATAAAAGTCTTCAAAATGATTTAATGTTTCCATCGAGTGTCGAGGGGTACTGATGAGTATTTACCATGCAGCGCTATCGTGCAATAGCAGAATGTTGATTTTTTTTCCTTGTTGGTTATAGTCATTCTCTAGCAGCGTGATCACGCACAATGTGTTATAGTGGCAAAAAAGTTGATTACAAGGTCTAAAGTTATTTCACCATTTTGGAGTTCTAATCTAGTATTATGTGATTTATAGGAAATTGATATTTTTCAAAGGATGGCAAGATTCTAAACTTTACTCTACCTGTTCCTCATAATTTCATCGTTAATTTAGTGTTTTATTCATTGTTTATGTTTGCAATTTTAGGGATTTTGAGCCCTAAGTTTAAGAATATGGAAATCACTAATTTGAGGGGTAAATAGTAGATATCTAGGACTGGATAATTCTATACATCTCGAGTTCCATTATTGGTGACCATATATATTTTAATCACTTTTCTCATGTGGAGTGTTAAGATCTCTTGCTAAAACTATTATTATTATTGAAAAGGGTAGGGGAGAAAGGGTCTCCCTATTTCAATCCTCTAGAATACTCAAGGAAACAAAAGGGTTATTACAAACCAGCCTCCACTCTATATCAACAATAATTTCTGAATAAACAAAATTTTCTCAATGCATTCATCTAAAAAATGAAGAACTTTGGCAAGATAGAAATTATTCTCTTGAGGATTAGAAGGTGTAGGCTCGAAGCATACATTAGATAAACCTATTTATTGGTTGGGTTGCATCTTACAATGCCGTGTGTTTTCTCAATTTTGTAGTATTCGTATGATAGTGGTATAATCTTAGTTGAGTATAGTGCTTTCAAACGAGTTCATATCAAATCAGTGAGAGTTGGAGTCAAAGGAAGGACTTAGAAGATTGTTTTGAGTACTGTTGGAGGGAAGAGGTGAATTCAAGAGTTTCTCTTAACCCAAATTCTGAATTGACATTGTTTGGTTCAGAAAGGTATCTAGGGTAAAGTGGAGCATGCGGTCCCGGTACCCTCATCTTTTTGTGCATTCAGGCTTTTCCTGTCCATTGACAATTGTAGTGTATATTGGAATTACCTTATATGTTTTTTCCTCCATTTTCCTATATTTTCAGAGTATAAAGCTTTTGTATAGTCTGTAGAGACCCTAAGTTATGTATGACTTGTTTGGATTGATAGTTCAATCATAAGGTCATTCATTTGGTTTTTATGCATGATTTTGTGTTATGGAGCATTCATAACTTGGAAAATGACTTTGGTCAAAACTTTAGGAAGATGGCTTCAGAATTAAATTGGACCAATAAATTAGCTCTGAAACGTCGAGTTTGGTCCAGAAAGAACTTCCATGTAGATCCCAAAGCTTCCAGCTCAATCCAAGCCATCATTTGGATCGTGGCTAAAAATTAATCTTGATGTAGGACCCATTGTTTATTGAGACGACTTGGGTTGGAAGTTTCGAAACCTTTTTTGGGTTGCAAATGTCCAATTTGGTGGGGTAGCTTATCTCGTTTGGATTCACAGGGTTCAAAAGAAATTTTGAATCCTTATCGAGGAATTTTGCACATTCCATGTTTCAAGAGGTGTTGGATTGATGTAACAACATTTTCTCTTTGCATTCACCTTATTTAATGTTGGGTTTTTGGCCTTTTTCCCTTCCTATGTGGGTAAATAAAAGTCCAAGGTTTTTTAGGTCTTCCGTTATTTCCTTTGTGGATAAATCTAGCAAAAATATGACTAGATTACTTTTGCCCATAAGCTCAATATTATGATGCATATGTAAGACTTTCTGTTAGGTCTTATTTGAGAGGAATCTCAAGATATTGATTTCAGCCATATAGAAAGAAAAGTGAGAAAATGCAGATTTTCGCGAAAGCCCTATCAGCAATTTAAAAATTGCTATTCTCGCTTCGTTTCTTGTCCGATTGAGCTGATTTTTGGACATAATGTTCCTTTCAACATAATCTATGACTGGGAATTGAGATAGAGTGATTTGGGGAGTCTTGTAGCTCCATATTTTAGCTCATGAACAATAGTTACGGTATGGTGTTCTTTCTTCTTTTATTTCTTGGAACGTCTCTAAAACGAACTAGGTGAAACTAGAGCCAAGAATATATGATGAGATTTTTGAATCCTTAAATTGTTAATTATGGTATTAGTAGGCAGTGTGTAACGTTTGGTTGAGTTTGAATGTCAAACGTCTAGCAATGTCCAAGACGTCCGCCAACTAGATGTCTATGTACCTATGTGAGTTCTTGTGTGCCTTGGCATGTTTGGTGAGTTAAGTTGGAGTACAAATTGATGTGGTTGGAACCTAAGACCTATATGACCATGTATAAGGGTTTAACATCCGGGTACGACTCCACCTAGTACCCACGAGGGGCCCTAGATAAGGACCCAAGACTTGGTAATAGAATTACCAAAACAGTGTCAACCAACGAACCATTCGACAGCTAGTAGACCAATCGACGGCTGGTTGACTTGGTCCTTCGATTGGACCTGCAATTCTGCAGTTTTAGGCAGCTGCAGACTAAAACCACGAGCCCTCATCAACGGGACGTTGATCCATCGACGGTGTGTTGCTTATGAACGTCGATGGTGACCTGCAAAAGCTGTCTAGATGCGGCTTCACTTGGGGTGTTTGGTAAATTCACCCCAAGTCTTTATGAACAATGGACGTTTGTATTAGGGTCTTAGGGGTATTTTAAGTGGGTTTATACTCCTAGACTAGGTTAAAATCCTTTTTCAAATATTCAAAAACCCCTCCCTCATGAAAGAACTCTCTCAAACTCCATAGAAACTAGAACTCAAGGAAGGGCTAAAAATGAAGGTTTTGGACGTCTTCTTCATCAAAATTTAGTGGGATTCCTTTCATAGAGGTATGTTACTTCATCCTTGAACCTTTTTTCATTCAAGGATCCATTCAAAGATATTTCAAAAAGGATTTTAAAGCTTCAACTTCTTCTATCTTTTATTCTAAGCACGATCTTAGCATAAAGTGTTTTAATGATTGAAATAAGTTGTTCTTAGTATTAGTTGATGATTTCAAGTAAAAACCTCAATTAACCCATTCTCATGCATGTTTCAACTTTTAGCTTATGAAGTGGGTTTATTATAAATATCTTGATAATGTTATAAAGTGTTTAAAGTTGTATTTCCTTATGTTATACTATTATTAGATACTGCCTTAAAGGCTATTTTATGAGGAATTATTGTAGAAATTGAGAAAAGGTGGTGAAAGCTTGAATGAACAGTAAGTTGGTTATATTGTTTAGTTCTTTTATGAAATGCTCTTCAGTGGTATGGTCCACTTTTGGTGGCGGTGTTTACTTGAAGTATATGGATATATGTATGAATGTGTGTATTGTGAGTATTGCCTTGAAGGCATGATATGTGAAGTAAAGTGATGATGATGATGTTCATGTTGATGTGCTTTAGGAAGCTTCGATTGTATATCTTGTAGAGATTATGTCTTAAACAAGTATATGTATATGTGAAGCATGCTAGTGTGTGAAATATGTCGAATGAAGGTGTAAGTATGGTTAGAAGTCAATGTTATGAAAATGGTGATTATGTGAAAGGTGTGTTCACATGTACTCACACACACACTTTAAAGGAATGAATAAAGTTAATTAATGAATGTGAATGGGGGATTGTAGGGTGGACACTCTTCGTAAGCAGAGATGAAGTGTCTAGACCATTCCCTACTCTTCTTAAAAGACTCTAGTGATGAAAAATGGTAGTTTTGGGGTTAACACTCTTCGTGAGTTGAGCTAAAGTGTTTTGTAGAAACCTCAATATTTCCAAAAGCTTTCTAAGATAGGTTGGAGGTTGGATACCCTTCGTGAGTTGAGATGTGTATTCCATTGTGACCTCTAGGGATAAGTACCCTTAATGAGTTGATATGTGGTGCTAATTAGTAATCCATTAACTTTTAGTTAATGAATACTTAAGACTCCATGGGGAAGTTATGCTTAGCGCCGAGAGGATTTGAACTAGGTGTGTACACACTTCGTGAGTTGAGATGTTGTATCCAATGTAACTCTTGATATGAGTACTCCTCATTAGTAGAGAATGAGTTACTTACAAGCAATCTTATTATCTATTGTAGAATCCATGTAAAGGCTAAGAGAATGACCCTACCCTAAGCAAGTGGGCATCCCTCATCCGTTAAGGGTTAATATCGGGGTTCCATGTCTAGATCTCATGGTTTATATCGGTCAAAGCTAGCCCCCACAAAAGAATGTAATGAACTAATCTTTTAAAGGGTTTAATACTAAGGGTAGGTGGTGGTGGGACGCTATTTATCCATTGCACAAGTAGGCATTTGGAGGGAGTGTTTGTGTGTCTCTATACGAAATGTATGAATTGATCATAATGTTATGTAAATGAAGTTATGTGGCTTAATGTCTAATGTTAGGAAAGCATGTTAAGGTTATGTCTTGTGTGACGAAGTTAATGAATGATGAATGTGGTGTGCTTAATCTATGGAAATCCTCATGGAGCACTTGGTGGGAGTACTAGTATGGGATGCTACTTTCACATTGCACTTTGCGTAACTTGGGAGTTTCCTTGGAGAAGGGAACTTATGTGAAGTCCTTAAATGTA